AAAATTATGATTTACATATAGCTTTACCCAGAGAAAATTAAAGCTACAGATTAAATAATTCAGATTTAGGAGGCATGGATGAATGAGTGTCAGCATTATAATTCAGCTATTAAAATCAAATTTGTTCAGCTGGTGGTGTGAAGTATATGTCAGCCATGCCAGCATTTGACTCAGAGACCACCTGGAAATTTATGGCTGGCCTAAGATGCCAGGAATGAATCATTCTGGACAAATCCTCGGTGAAAGCTAAACTGCAGATATTGAGTTATCTCACCAGTTGTCTAAGTGGAAGAACATACTGCCTCCCTGTTCAGCTGGGGCAACACCAAATAAAATTAAGCCAAGTCAGAGCTCCAGGTTAAAAATCTTTCCAAATGTCTCAAAATCTAGAAATTATACTGATCCTTTATTCCACTGTTGCCAAATACAGCCCATTGCTACAGCACTGTTTCCATACAGCGCAGCATGGTAGGTGCAAATTGCTCCATTTCAGAGGAATTTACATTTCTCTGGCTGAGTTTAGCGGACATAAAATCACATTTCTCCAAAAATTAGCCAATAAGCTATCCAAAAGAATGCAAATATTCAGATTCCTGGTCTAGTTTCCTAACTTCACCAGTAGCATTTGTCCTCCATTTTGATGTTCTTGGTTAACTCTTGTCTTTGAACTCCTGCCCAGTGGGACATGATTTTAACTGATCCCCTTGAAATATTTACTTTCTGGCCTTCTCAACTTTATGAATGTAGCTTTACAGCTGTAAAGTATAGCAACCCAACCACAAAAAAAGCATAAGATTGTATTTACTTGATAATATCATACTTAGTTGACATTCTGACAACCAAATCAGCACCTTTAGCAGATGTCAGTTTTACAAAAGTATGATATGTGCTGGTAAAACAAAGTTTGGGCATACAGCTCTGAGTGCCAAGTAGAGCCCATGTGAAAACAAGAATGAGACAAGCTCCCACTGTTTGGACTACTTGTCTGTGCTGGAAAGGTAAATGAGTATTAACTAAAACCACATCAAACACAGCCTTGTATTCAACATAAGTAGGCACTGTCATATGTAATAGAAGATGAGTAATGGGAGCTATCTGCAGGCTCTGTGGCAGGTTTGCCTAATAAATATCCTCCATTTTCTGCAGCTTTCCTCATCTTTCCAAACAGGTCGTGGGTGAGGTATTGAAAGTCCTCAGAGCACGACAAGGCATTGTACAAAGTACTGCTGAGCTGTGGAGGGGGAAGAGGCATGAGCAAGCAGAAGCAGCTTGGATGAGCTGGGATGCACTCAAGAGCTGCTCAGTCGTGACATTGCACACTTCTGTCCTTCTGTCTGCAACAACTACTGATTTCATTGCAGAAATCATTTACAAAAATGAAACCAGGCCTTTACCTTTTTTTGCCCATTGACGCCAAATTTTCTTCTTATTCATTTATCAATCACAGCATGTTTTATTCTAAAATTATGGGTGTCATAATATTGCTGTTGCTAAATATATGCCAAGACTCCTTACTCACAATAAAAATCCTTTTGTTTCTCATCAACCTCCTGCTAAACTTCATTTTTAATTCCATTGTGAATCACTGAGGACACTGAAAGTCACCCTATTTTTCTCATTTCATGCAGAAAGCCCAGGACCTTGAAAGAGGAAATTTATTTATGCAGTGAAAGTATGGCTCATTAATGTGGCTTGGTGTTGATATATCAATTGGCTGCACCTTAGCTAACACTTTTGAAATGAAACATCTAGCAGCAAAGAAAGTTCTGATTTAAGGAAGCTGAATGTGTTCATAATATAACACCATCATATATTTGAAATTTTAGTTTTCAACACTTTCCCCATTCTTCTCTCATATTGCATAGCTGTGATAAAATACTATTTTCAGTTAGGAAATAAGTTGTGATTTTTTTTTTTAGTGGAGCTTGAATGAGTTAATTTTTTCTCATCTTCAAGTATTAAACCTCACTTGATGTGAATGAGTAGCTCCATGGGCTTCACTGTAGGCAAAATTTGCTGAAAGAAGGCACAGAGTACACTTAGGCTACTCCCTGGTAAAAGGTGGAATAAAGCAGCAGATGGTTTATTGTGCATGAGAAGGAGGAAGGAAAGGTCCAGATAGCATCCAGCATTTTGTGTAAGGTAGAAGTAGATTTTACCCACCCATGATCACATGCTATTACAAAAAATATTACACTCCTAAACTCAAATGTGTTTGAAAAAGTGGAAAGAGGCTACCATATAACAGGCAGAAAGCAGAAGACTGTGCTTTTATCACCAAAGAGGGAAAGCCAGAGAAGCACATCCCATTTCCATGAACCATCATTAGCAATCTGGTCATAATTTAATATTATTCTCTTGTAAAAAATAGCAAAGTATTAGGATTTAAAAGGATTGGTATCTCATATGTAAATATTTAAAAATAACAGCAAATGGTGAATCTATAATGGCTCTCTAAGATCCTGTGTTTCTGCAGCATGGGAGTGATTTGGATACAAAATCTGTGATAAGCAGGGCAAGAGAAACATTGCTGGTGGACAATAATTTTAAGTTTGGTTAAAGTGTTGAAAGACAGAAAGAAGATAATTAATATGAAAATGTGTACTCTTTCAAAGTATCTTTACCTTCTCTCATTTTACTACCTCTGATGAGCCCAGCTCATACTTAGTGGTGCTCTGCTTTCACATTTCTGTTACTACATTGGCTTAAATAAATTACACCAAACAAAAACCTGCTTCTTGCTGCCATCAAAAATAAAACACCATCCTCCTTTTATGAGCAAATTTAACAAACACAGAGAATGCTTTCACTCCAGGATTTCATGGGCTTGGGTAGAAAGCAGGTCCTCTGCAAAAAGGATATATGGGCTTCCTGGAACACTGCATCTTCTTGTTAATGAAAGCCTGGGCAGATTTGCTGTGAGAAACCATCATCACAAAACTTGCTGCAATCTGCTTTAGCTCCCACAGAGGATAAAAATTATACAGTCAGAGGGACTAATCTCTTTGAATTCTATTCTGTCTTGAATCTCTCATTCCACTTAAGACAGTGAGAATCTGACAACTGAGTGTCTGCTCCAGCAACATCTGACCTCTCCTGACATCTCCTCACTCAGATTATTGTCCCCAAAAGGCTGTGATGAGGCAAAGACAGCCATCTTTCCCAGGGGAAGGGTGAACTAATGGTGCTGGGGTCACTTGCCTACTCCTGTGCCTCTTTATGTGTTCAGGACACACAGATGTGTGGCTGACAAAAGTCGATGAAGTCTGGCTCCCCTTTCCTTTGTGAGAAAGCAGGTGTGTCTCCTCCCTGACTGTTCTGAGATGCACCCACCAGGAACAGTCCTGCCATCATCCTTTTAGTGTGCAGCACAGCCATTGAGGGACATTATGAGATGAGGTGGGATGCTGTGACAATAATACCTTCTGCAGCTTTTTGTGTCTCATATCCCACGCAGGAGCCATTGCCTCCCAAGCATGTCTAATACACAGACTCATAGAATAGTTAGGGCTGGAAGGGATCATGTAGCTCCAGCCTTGCTATGTTAGAAGTTGGACAACTGAATATATATTTGCTTCAGCAGGCCCAAAGTCTATGAAATAAAAGAGTTCCGGAGGACTCTGCCTCTCTAAGTCTGTGATCTGATTAGAAAGCATTGCTCTTAGAACTTGCACAGAGAAAATCAAGGAGAGTTTTCCATAGTCAAACCCATTGATTAAATCAGGAAAAAAGGAGAATCACTTTCTGTTGATAGCAGATCTGTATCTTTTCTACAGCCATACCCGCTAAGAAATTAATTAAAAGGTGGATGGCTTTCTTTATTTCATGTGAAGGTAAATGTACTAAAATAGGACTTGTTCAATAGGAAAGTTCACAACCCTTCTAATTAGAAGGCAAACTATTTCCCAAGCTGCTATGAGGAGATATAATTTCCAAACATTCAGCCCGACTACGAAAGTTAATTTTTTGTTGCTCTGTCACTTGACCAGGCACAGCATCTTCTCATTTCTCACTCTCTCCTCTCGATCACCTCTTCTAGAGAAGCAGTTTTGACGGAGGGTTCTAGGGGGTGGAGAGCGGGGTCCCTAATGCTGGCCTGGGGGTTTCTCGTCCCGGCGGGCCGAGCCGGGGGGCGGCGGGGGCGGCAGCGCTTGTCCAGCCCCGGGAGCGACACCGGGAGCGACCGTGGGAGCGGCGCTTGGGCCCGCCCCGGCGCCCATTGGCTCGGCGGCTCCATATGGGGCTCGGCGAGGCCCCATAAAGGCGCCCGTCCGCTGGCCCCGCCGCCCATCCATCCATCCCGTCCCCACCCCGCCATGCCCTCGCCGCCCGCCCTGCCCTGGCTCCTGGCCGCCTGCTGCCTCTGCGCCCTGCCGCGGGGCTCAGGTACGTCCCGCACCGCGGGCGGGGGGACGCCGCAGAGCCCTGGAAAGGGTCGGCTCCTCTGGAGGAGCCACGTCCCGGCTGGGCTCCGCGGCATCCCAGCACGCCCGTGTCCCGTCCCGCAGGGTTTCCGCAGCCTTTCTCGCGCTCCCGGGACGGCGTGGAGCTGCCCCCAAACCAGGTACGTCTGTCACTGCCGTCTGACAGCCATGCGAGCTGGAGAGGCAGGGAAGAGACGGGGAAGGTGGGAAACGAGGCTCGTATGTGGCAGGGAAATGAGGTAGGAAATCGGCAACGGACTGGCAATACCTTAATAAATACCTTAATAAATACCTTAATAAATACCTTAATAAATACCTTAATAAATACCTTATTAAATACCCTGGGGGCTGGTAAAGAGAGGAGGGACGCTGACGCCCTTTGCCGCCGGCAGCGGCAGGTGGGACAGGTATGGGCAGGGGTGTGGAGTGCAGCAGGGTGCAGAATAGGACACCTGGGTCAGCAAAAGACAGGCTAATAACAAGCCAGCCCGGACTTTCCGAGCAAAAACACAGGTCCGAAGGTACGATAGACACACTGTTAATGTCTGTTCTTTACTTTTTAAAGCAACTGGCACTGTGTTTCAGTCAGTGGATGGAAATGTCCGATCAACCCCAGGTAACTTGACTCCTGTAATGTGTTTGCTGAGACTCTCTCTTCCAGACATACTAATTGTCCTCTGTAACCTGGAGCATCGATGTCTGCAGGTGGCAGAGCCTCTGCCAGAGAGCCAGCAGCTCTGGAGAGAAGAGCAAGTTTCTTGGTGTATGTGCTCTCCTCCTCATGAAGCTAATGCAGACGTAAAGAAAAGCACTTTTTTTTTTTTTCCCATTCTTGCCATGCCAGTAGTAGTTAACACTGAAAGAAGATGTGCCAGAGAGTTTTGCAGGATTTAGAGGTCCTGTTTGGTCCTGGCTTGGTGCTTGATGGTGGATGGGTTTTTTCTGGGGTGCTTAAAGGAGAAGGGAGCAAGGGGATGTTTTCACAGATCATTTCTGCTGGCCCAAGGCTTACAAGCACTTTAAAAGAAAAGATCAGTATGTGAAAGATTAGCTGTACTTCATTTAATATCGAGCCCAAGGATCATTTTCAAAGCAGGGAGAAAAATATTTGCGGGATCAGGAGGTATTTGGAAATTTTGAACATTTTGTGTTGATTTTTCTCTTTATGAAATGTTGCAGTTTTGTGAACCAAAACTTGTAGAAAACAGTTCCCAGAGCCTGTTTTTCAGATGTCTTACACCTCACTTCCTTTGGAGCTGTAGTTCTCATCTAATGCAATTGAATGCCTAAGCAAGTGTCCATCCTGTGGCAATGAGTATGGGACAGTGCATTTCAGTATATAAGTAAAGATTATATGATTGACCAAAAGGCTAGTAGTTAAAAATGAGCAGAGACTAAACATGCCTCAAACCAAAGCTACCCCTAGAACAATTAGCATAGAAAAATGTATTTTAAATATAAGAGGCTGATTTTGATCTATTTATAGCACCAGACTGTATTGACAACGGTTTTATTGTGGGTATTCTCCTCAAACAAAAGACTAATTTTTCAGCTCATAATAGCTTCAGTAAGTTTTCCCTTGCTCTAAGTTTTTTTAGTGAACTGTGCTCAATCTAAATTGATCTGGGATCAGAATCAATCCTGTTTTCTATCAAACCATGTACACCATGTTCTCCCAGTAAATGTATTAAAGTATTGTTTGGTTTTTTCTTCAGATCTCAAGCACTGTTTTGGATCTCTGTTATTCCATATTCAACAACATGTATAAAAATGAGGTAAGGTGCAATTGCTTGTTTTTTTCCAAAGCACTCCCTTCATAGAAAGCAACCACTCCACGACCCACTTTCTGATATTTCTCTCTGAACAATAATGTATAATCTAATACTATAATGGTTTAAGAGATGTAAGAGGGTATATAAAAGATTTTCTTCTTGTTAGTAGTTTGCATGTAATTCTTAGTTACTTTAAATTATTTATATGAAACTGATGTTTTTCACCAATTCAGAGCTTAAGAACAAAAACATTCACTTACAGTCAGTCAGTATTTTAACCTGATCCTCAACTTTGAATAACACACCTTTAAATACACTAAAAATATGCATAACGTTGTATCAATTGCAAACCTTAGATTATGCAGGACACAGATGTGTATGAATTGCTTCACTGATTTTAAGACTCTATTTGTGTTTGGGTTTCTTCTGTTTCTGACTCAGAGTAAAGAGATTAAGTTGGAGTTATTGAGTATAGCTCTTCTTTGCTGGTGCAGTCATATAAGGACCTACCTCAATGCTTTATATCACTTTTTTATTAGCACCATTTCATTAAGAACCTTTTCCATAAAATTCATTCAGACCCTGGTTATATGCTAAAAAAAGCCAATTTACTTGTGGAGGCTGAGTCCTCTGCTGTTTCAAAAGAGGAGTAGATCCTTCAAGACAATAATGGGAAGTATTTTGAAATGCGTTTTAGTATCTCTTCTTGCCAGTGTCTTTAGCTTATTATAATTCTAAGCATGCTTTCCTGAAGCAATCACTAAACTCTACAATACTGAAGCTGATTGTATAAAAAATTCTAGCATTTCAGTCATAAAATCTAATAAATGTTTTTGAGTTCACTGTTGACTCTTATGCTTCCACATCTTAGCCAATGAGGGAATGTCCAGAATCACCTGGTAACTTTGAACAGCGTCCTATTCCTGGTTACTATTTTAGTTACTAACTTTGCAAAAAAATTTGTGTCCTCAAGATTGGAAGCTGAATCTCATACAATATCCTTTAAAATTATAAGAGCTACACACCTGCAATATGATTTTTAGATGTGGTCTGGGTAAAGCAGCAAATAAAATAAATATGTGAAATATGGACAAAGAACTATGTGAAGTATTACCCAGCTGATCAAATCTCATATTACATGAAATCCTACTTTCCTAGCCCACAAGGAACTTTCAGAAGACACTACAAACACGAGTCTGTATGTAGTGAACCCAGTGAAACAGTTATGAAATCCTACTAATGTCAGCTGAATTTAGCTTTCTACATCATTCTATATTTCTGTGAATTAAGAAAATATTCAGTCAGAGTTACAGATCCTATAGAGAATGTAGATGGTGTTTTAAGAGAAGGAATGAGGCCTCAGCACTGTGAAAGGCAAAGTCCATGGCAATTTGGGTTTGAATGGGACTTTGACCCCACCTGGGGAATTTAAAATATTTTGTGAGAACTAAGAATATTTAGCATCAATGTCCAATCACTTCATTGTGTGTTTGAGATTTCCACCCCAAAGATATTTAAAAGCTTAGTTTTTACCATATTTCTTCCACATAGTAATCTCTCACCTGTTATAAATTAGGATAGTTGAAACTGCAGGCTGAGTCATGAGCCAATCTCTATCTCTGCTTGGTGTGTAATAATGAACTCAGAACAAAGGTAGCACTCATATTGTCTCTCTGTGGTAGTCTCCTCCTTTGCATCCTTTAAAGCACCTTGATTGAGCAAGCATTTTTTTCTTCCCTAGTGTTTCATAGCCCTGTAAGTTAATGTCAGTCACTCTATAAATTGTTGTCTTGCTGCTTGAACCAAAGTAATCATTTTCTCATACCCTGAACCACGATTCCCTCTTTCTTGCTTGTGTATTTTGTCTTTTAAAACTCCTTCTCTGCAGTTTCCAATCCACATGCTTTCCTGCATTCTTGCCCATCTTCCCTTTCTTGCCCATGACATGTATTTGTTTTTCAAGCCCACTCCAGGTAACTAAACCCACTCACTGATGGGTGACTGATGGGCTGTGCCACACAGACATCCCATCTCATTCCTGGCTGGCTGTGAGCATACAGCCTGGCAGATGTGTTATGGGCAGGAGGGCTCTCAAAACAGGCTGCAGGTTCAGGGCTGCATTACATGTAGAACTTGGTCTGTTCATATAAAGTCATGGGGAAAATTTCTACTCCTTGAAGTAAGGCTGAGTAGAAAAATAAGCAATTTTCTGAAGAATAAAGAGTGCAGGGGAAGGCTTAGACCCAGCAATCTTTCCTGGGTTAAAACCAAGGGCAGTCTGAAAGGTGAAGAGCAGCCCCATTTTTACAAGATAGAGCTATCAGTACAATTCAAGCCTGAGGAGTGGAGCTCCAGGCTGAGCTCTGCTTCACCCCCCAGAGCACAGCTGCACTTTGCTGTGCAGAGGGGGAAGCCTGTTGAATGATGGTAATGAACAGAGCAACTTCCAGGAAAGGCTTCACATCAGTCTTCTAAAAGATCCATTTGCTGCTTTCTTACATCTGTCTGTGATAAGTGTAAGGTTATCTCTCTTCTCACACCGAGTGTACCAACCTCATCAGTACCAGAGGGTCACTGTAACAAACCAAAATGTGCTGGCATCTTGATTAACATACAGTGTCCACTTGCAGGAATCCCAGATTGCTTCTGCAAAGTTTACAAAGAAGGTATGTAAATATGAAGACAAGCAGTGGCAGTAGCAGTGGTGGATGGGGAAGTATGTCCCTTTCCTTGTTTCTTTTAAAGTCAGCTTGGGTTTTTCCAGTGGTTGGGAAGTGATCTGTGATGACCCTGCTCATACCCTACATGTAAAGCTTTCTTTTATATCTCTTTTAACCCTGTAGATCTTTAATTATGGTAACCTAGTTTATTTACACTGGACATAATGTGCTAGTTAAGGCATTAATTTTTAATCAGCATTTCAGATGAATGGGCATTGGGGACTATCAACACCTTGTTTGCATGCTGCTGAAAAAGCCCCAGATTACCAATATTTTGATAGAATGGTGAACTTTGGTGACAGATCTATGGAACTGAGTTAAAAGTATTTTGTTATTGTTTGTGTTTGATTTTATAGGACAGTCTTGGAACTCTGGGGCGGCCTTTCTTCCTTTTCAGGGTATCTGAATCTCTTTGTTTTAAAGATTCTGAATCTCAGATATTGTTATATGTTCACAAACAAGCAGCTGTTTCACAAATTCTTGCTGCAGTTGTTTTGAATAGAAGCCAAATATCCCTATGCTTGAAAGCTTAGGGGGCCATTTGCTCAAAAAGCTCTGGTTTGACTAAAAGATGACAAGATAATGAGATCTGGGGTACTGGTGGATTAAACACTTCTTTTTGTTTGAAGATATGGCTCTGCAAATGTTTTATCTTGAGCCAAATCATTCATGTGGCTTGTATCTCTGAGGCTGTCAGGGTGCACTGATGCTAAATAAATTAGATCAAACATGTGCCTGAGCTGAGTGCCCACCTGGCCTGAAAGGTCTGCCCAGGAAGTGAAGTCACACTGCATAATGGTGAAAAACCAGAGCAAAATTATCATAATTTGTCTCACATTTTTCATCCATTGGCTTGCTGAGCTATGATATGGTCTAATGCCCAGTGTGCTGGTTGAGACACACTGATTAACACCAAACTAAGTTTTAGGAATATCTTCCACACATTCAAAAAAGAATTAAAATACTGTAAAGTAGGTCATGTCAGGTAACCAGAGTACCAGTTCAGCTGTCATTTATGCTTAATTTCAAGTTATTTGTTGCTTCAAGTGTGTTCACCTAGGTTCTTTCAGTGCTGGCATTTACATGCTCTTTCTTAGGCATGTGCCTATACTACCCCAATGAATTTAAACCCAAACCTGAATGAGAATAATTAAAGCCAGAATGTTTAGCTTTTTGGGCATATTTTTCTCTTTTTTTTTTTTTTCTCATATTTAAAAACATAACCCACCCTGCATGGATCCCCCTGGTATTTGACCTGCTGTTCTAAAGAAAATCTCACTGCAGTTTTATACAGTACCCTGTCTGCATGATGGGGATGTGTTTTGGTGTGCTTATAAATCTGTAATCCATTGCTTATGTACAATCATCTAATTATTGTGTTTTTCAGCCTCGAAATGGAAGAACTGTTGAAGGTAGTGGTAAGTAGGCAATCAAAAGTGTCAAGAATTTCTTCTGCCTTTTCACCAGTGAGGAGCCTCATGACAAAAGAAGGTACTGAGAAGCATTACAAACCTAGTACAAACCTAGATACACATATTTCATATGGACACTAAAAATTGTCTTGACAGAAATGTAGGGTTTTTTCATGCTCAGAGACTTAGAGTGCACACCCTTGCCAGATGGGTGGGTATTTTTTGTCAAGCTTCCATACTCTAAAATAAGATCAGCAGGGTTACAGTATGGTAGAAAGATAACTCTGTGAGAAGAAAGGATTCATGTTGGAGTACAAGTAACAGATTTGAGCACTTTTCTGGACTTTCAAATATCAAAATCTTCTGGTTATAGAATCTGAAGCTATTTAATTTCTAGCTTTGAAAAGAACCAGATGTACAGAGCTGAGTACTAAGTCATATTCAGATCAACATCTCAACATAAGATATGACACTGTGTTAATTTGTTGCAGAATATCATGGAATGTGACGTTCATGGATTCATTCACCAGTTTGATGACTTGGTTTACATAAAGGAAAGAGACGTCCCATTGCACTGGTTGTCTATTATGTGACTCAGTTGTCTGGAATTTGCTGTTCCATGTAATAAATTTGCAATCAGTAATTCTTTTTGTTGTCCTTTTTTTATTGAAGCCCATACTAGGCTTCCTTGGGCTATAGTCTAGCATTGCCTGGTGCCAGCTGTAATCAAAGAAAATCCATCATTTCAATATCGACAATTTTAAAATGCAACAGTGAATTTTATAACGTCTTCTTTAATAGGGTCATAAATGATAAGCTTGTCCTTTCGACTAGATAATATATTTCCCAATTATTTCAGAATAGGCATCCTGAACAACACCATACTAAAATCATCATGGACATTTTAATGATTTATTTTGAGTAACTAAGTGCTCAAGTGTAATAATTGATGAATCCAAAGCACTTTGAAAGAAGAGGAACAAGTACTGCTACATACAGATGTTATTTGATCAGATGCATTTTTTTTCAGCCTTGCCTTGCTGGCTATCATAAAGCACAAATGAGGCACTTTTTAGAAATATTCTGAACATCTGCCCTTTTTTTTCTGAAATCATGCATTTGAAAATGTAGTGCAGCTGATTGTGCTTGCGCTGTATGGAATATTTTGGTACGTGGAGACATTTATGGACACAAAACTTTAAGTACTATGCAGTTACTTCCTTAGGAAGAAAAGAGCACAGTAAAATTGAGGCTCTGGAGATACAAATGAGGCTGAATTGATTTCCTTGAGCCTTTTGTTACCCCTCCTTCTCTTTGGCTACTGTGGTATAGTACTGTTCCAGTAATGCTGGCACAGCTGCATGTGAACCAGATTTGCAGATACCTTTGCTTTTAAAAACAAACCCTGAGATACCGGTGTTTTGTCATTTTGTGGGGTTTTTAGTAGGGTTTTATCTGGATAAGTTCCCAGTTTGGGCTGTGTTAACAGAAGTTTGACTGGTAGTTAGAGGGAAGCGATGAGTTGTTTGGCAATTGTTGACAGCATCTAAGGCAGAGTATTCAGTTTGGAGGCTCAGAATACAGTAAGGCCATGGAAAAAGTGGAGTGAGGGCCTCCAAGGTGGTGAGAACTCTATCACTTGCCCCTAAGGTGATGCAAGGGCAACTAGGCTGGTTCAGTCTGGAGGAGGGATGCCTTCAGACTCTCCAGTGCATATGAGGGTCATCAAGCAGACAGCTGTTGTTCAGTGTACTGTCAAATCCTGTAGGGAATTATTAGCCCTTGGAAAGACTACCAAAGGGATGCTGGCTCCTCTGGCCTCTCAGGTATCTTGGACCAGTTAGGATGTCCCTCTGGAAGGACCAACTAAGCCAAATACAAGTGGTGGGGATGCACTCTGTCAATGCAAAAAATAAGAGATAATGATTACTTAAGTACTGCAATGGCACTTCTGCCTTGTTTCATCTCAGAGTCCAAAGCTGAAAAGTATCAAATTTTGTTTGGGTCTACATAAGTATTTGTACTGGTATTGGCTGGGATAGAGTTAATCACCTTCATAGCAACTTTTATGGTGCTGGGTTTTAGATCTGTGACCAAAACAGTGTTGATAACACAGTGATATTTTAGCTGTTGCTGAGCAGGGCTTGCACAATCTCAAGACTTGTTTCCCACCCCACCAGTGAGGTGGCTGGGGGTGCACAAGGAGTTGGGAGGTGACACCACTGGGATAGCTGACACAACGCTGAAGGGATATCCCACACTGTATGCTGTCATGCTCTGCCATAAATGTTGGGGAGGAGAAAGGGACAGACAGACACAGACACACACCCCTTCAGAGTGATGGTGCTTGTCTTCCCAAGTCAAAACCAGTGTACAAAACCAAGTCACAGTTAGGTGATGGAGCCTGGCTTTGCTGGAGATAGCTGAACACCTGCCTGCTGATGTAAAGCAATGAATGAATTCCTTGTTCTACTTTGCTCTACCTATTAAACTGTCTTTGTCTCAGCCCACAGCTTTGCTCACCTTACCCTTCTAATTCTCTCCCCATCCTGCTGGGGAAAGTAAACAAGATGGGTGAGGTGATACTGAAGCAGTACTGTACCATAAACAACTTGTGCTGTGCTCTCAGAGTCAGCAAAGGCTTCCTTCACCCGCAGTAGGTTTCAACAATAACATCTATTTGGGCCTTGAAACTTAAATAATGTTTATAAATAGGTGATAATTTTCAGGTGAGAACCTATCTTAGGTTCCTCAGTCATATATCTGTAGTAACTGTGGCTCCTCTGTAAGAAGCACAGAAGAGCTCTTCATTGCCCAGTGGAAATCTTTGCTGCCTGAAGCAATTCAAATGTCACCTGTGAAAGAGGAGAAATTAGTAATATAGAAATGCAAAGGTCATCTCTGGCCTGAAATTCATTCTGAATATCCCACTGCAAAACTCACAGCAGAAATTCAGGAGTGCAGACACAGGTGACAACAATTAGAAGCACAGAAATACTTTTGCAAGAAAAAGAGGTGAAAGCTCAGTTATCCCTGTCAGGCAGAGAAGAGAAAAATATAGAATTTTATGTCAAGATATTCAAAGTACTTAGTGTGTTTAGAAGAGTAAATTGGGTACTTATCCATCCTCTTGTCATAAAAAGCAGCAAAAAGGGACACTCAATTACACTGAGAAGCAACATGTTTCAGCTGCAAAAGAGAAAATTTTTGTAGCACTTAACTCTTGGAATCAGTTGCCACAGCTTAGAGCGTGTGGTTAAGATCAGCTCGGTGGACTCTTGGAAAGGCAGGGATATTCAGGAGTGCATGTCTTTGTGCCACCTAACTTGATTCAAAAATCACTTCAGGCTGGCCTAGCTGGAGCTGGGCTCAGCAAGGTGCTGTTCAGCAGAGCAGACAGCAAGGGACCTGGAAATGCACTGTGGAGGAGCAAGTGCTGCCCAGCCTCACGACATGCTGCTCACCAAAGGGACAGAGCACGAAGCACAAGAGGAAAACCTTCTTGGTGTTTTACTTCCCTCTCTCTGGTCCTTCGTGATCTTGTGCCTTGGACAGCTTCACTCCCTGCTCAGCTTCCACAGGGAAGAGCTCACTTAGTAAATTTTGAGGTGATGGCAAGCTGCGAGGGATGGCAATGCTGCAGGACAGAATCAGCATTCAGAAGAATTACCTTGGCAAAGATACATATGGAAAAAAATATGTACAGCTCACAGAGGATGAGAGGAAGTGACTGCACATAGTGAAGAATAAACAATTGCAGCTTTGCAGCAAAGGGAATGGGTAACTAGACAGTCAAATATCATAGTGTTGAGGAGAACACAAAATACAATGTGGAATGAATAAGAAACTGTAGAGACTGTTACATGGGAGGGCTTGCATTGCTAATGTAGTAAAGCTTCATGTGGAGAGCAATACAGGAGAAGAAAGAGAGGAACAACCAACAAAGAGGAAAGGCAGAGGTCAAGGAAAGTTGGAACTCTGAATGAAGTGGGGTTGATTTGCAAGAAGGAAAGTGTGAGGAGAGGAATGATAAAATGCTTAATTTTAAACTCACCATCCCTGTCAGCATTCATCAATGCCTGTGTTTACTTATTTGCTGGGCTTTTAGAGTCGAGCAGTGATCCCAGGATGTCTACTGGCTGCTTATATGGCAATCACTCTTAAGACTTATTTACCTGTTCTAGACAACTCCCACATTGCAATTGCCATTCCTATACCTTATTAAACAGGGTAGAAACATATCTTTGACTGGGCTGGACTACATAAACTGTCTTCATTGCTCTGATAGGTTTCTGCACGGAACAACTAGAAGGAGCTACTAAGTGTCCTTCAGTCATTTCTGGATCAACTTTTTCCAGTGTACAAAACCAAAAATGAGACTGATTTTATGGCAGGCTATGATTCACCACCTAAAATTTTGACAGTTCTCTGGTGCAAAGAACCTTGTACACCAAACTTCATCTCCCTATTAGCCTTCAACCTGCTAAAAGATCAGTAGAGGAAGTCTGAATGAGAACATAATGCAAACTTGAAAGAAAATAATTCTGGATATATTTACTACAAAGCTTCTGCATGTGGGGATTACTATATAGTCATTTCAGATAGTACCTGCTGGATCATGGCACTGAAAGATGTGTACACATAAATACAGCTTTCTGGAGCACAGCTGTCTAAACATCAACCAGAAAAATTCCTATGCATGGACTAGAACTTCCAGCAGATAATGCAAAAATGTAGAACATGTGTGAACTGACCTCAGAGCACCCAGAGGCAATCGTGTGATCCATCCAAAAAGAAGCAAAATTCAGGAGCCTCATTCAGCATAGCATTAAGGTCATATTTCTTCTCATGAACGTGGTGTGAGCTGATGGGCCACAGCCACCTAACCTGCTGGGCAGCATGATCTCTCCAGTAATGACACCAGAGACCATGCTACATGAAAAAATGCCAAAATAGCCTTTGATTATCAGTAGTCTTGTACAACATATTTTCCTCCATTTTTACAGCTCAGTCTAGTCTGCAGGGTTACACAGCCTATGTATAATCTCAGATTATAACCCAAATTCACTACTCTGTGACTTTCAAACGAGCAGCACTTAACTTCCAAGAGGACAACGGTGTTTTGGAATTGCAGTATTGGGACCGGTCAGCAGAGGGCAAGGCCAGCATCAAATCTGGGATGCTCAAAGCAGAGGCACTCTGGGCTTTACCCCTCTCCACGGTGCTATGCTTGACCAGCTCGGGTAGCGAATGGGTTCAGACCTTGTGTATCCCTTGTGCTCACCAAGACAAACTGTCTCAGCCCATAACTTGGGATGTTTCCTCTCCTTACACAGAAAGTGACAGACGATATCAGGCTTATAAACACACAAATCTCAGTGCAAAGTGAACTACAAGCACCCTGCACAACCAAGACATCCGTCAACAGCATCCAGTCCTCTCGACAGGTAAAAGAAGAGCTTTTCCAGGCATCATTTCACCCCCATGCTTCCATCTGCTCACCACTTCATTGAATTGCGGAGCACCATGTGCACACATTCCCTAATGGGTGTTATTGAAGACATCTATTTTCCTTGACACCCTGGTGCCAGGGCATAACTAATTTAGGAGAGTAACACCACATCAAGATAAATGTGTTTTGCAGCATCAGTAACAAGAGAGAAGCCAGAGGAACTGTGTTTTGAATGGGTTATTTTTGCTTTGATTTTTAACTAAGTCACATACCAGCCTCAGCTACAGGTGACTGAGCTAAGTTGAAGCCTATAGCATGAGACATGAGAACTAGTAATGTGCCAAAATACCATGCAATTAATGTCTTGTTTCTTCAAAATAAATGAGCACTTTGGTGATCAAGAGAAGAAGTAAAATTATTGCTATTGCATTTGTAGTTTGAAGAGGCTCTCCTATACTGTATGAAAAAAAATTTTTATCGCAATTTCATTAGAATGACCTAGAGGTATGATTTCTAAACTTACCAAGCACTTTATTGAACAGGGTACTACCTGTGGGTATGAAGCTAAGCATCTTCACTGATAACACCTTTCTATCTTCCCCCTTTGTGAAAAAGGGTATGGTTACATAGCCTCAACATTTTTCTATGTTACTCTGTGCATTTCTGTTCAAAATCATCCAGAGTGCCTATTATTCAACCTGGATAGAACCCTAACTTTCCAAGGAAGCCAAATGTTCATTATCTGGATAGTTGTCCGAACTTGCTCCCAATGCCTATGTTTGGAACAAATAATGGCATAAATGACCATAATAGACTAGTAATATTTGAGAGCTTATCTTATAATCAAATAAGACACTTGATTGATTAAAAACTTGTTTACTGATTACATGAATGCATCATTATTTATCAGTGTAATTAGTGCTACTCCAGTAAATGTTTAAATACTCCTTAGCACATGTTTTGCAAAACTGGGTTCTGAGTTCTGCATTTTTCCCCTCTCAGAGTGGCAACTCCTCTATGAAAAAAGTGAAGCCCAGAACAAACCAACTTTTCTCATTGTTCTAGCCCCAGGTTTCTGAGGATCTATAATTTCACTGTTGATGTGTTGTAAGGCAGCAGTGAAGAGCCATAACTGTTTGTTTCCTCTTCAGCAGCAGAACATTTGATCTGTTGGTGGCCAATGCCAGGGCTGGTTTGAAGCTTAATGAGCTGCATTAAGTTTTAACAAGTGTTGTGGAAGAAAGAATGTCTTGAAAATATCAGTAGTGCTTTTGTGTAAGCAACAGGACAGCAGGTATAAATGCAGAGCTAGAACAACCAGAAAGTATCCTGATATTCTTCTTGCTTGACAAGCTTTATAGTGTAAACAAAAGAGTATCACCCAGTTCTTCCTGCCAAAAAGGGAGTTATTCTTTTCTTTATTCTATTGTGAAATGCTACCTCACATAAATTTTACATTTGCTTCCTGCTGACATCTGTGCTGCTCTTTTCTTCATCTCTCATTCTATTTTTATAGCATTTTCATCTCCATTCTCACACTGTTTCTTACCACTTCAGAACTATTTTTCATCAATGACAACTTCTGCTTAACCCTTTCCTCCTCCTGCTGCCCCAGCACAGAGTATCCCAATACAGAGGGAAAAGGCAGTGAATATGCTCTGAAGAAGAACATGCTATGAAGCAGAGACCAGAACAAGTCTCCTTTGAGAGGTCCTGCTGCTTGTTAACTACAGTCAAAGTTAGTTAAATGCCCCGAATACAGAAGAGCCTTTTTTTTTAAAGATGCAAGAATTACTATTTTAAAAAAATTATGGATCTATAGAAGAAAACCAACAGACTTTGGAGGGGAGAAGGTGGGGGGAGTAGACCCCTTCTCAAGTTCTTGAGAACTTTGTGCAATGGAAAACACTGAATTTGTCATCTGTGTTAGGAGAAGACATGGCACTACCACATTCTGCATGCTTTTCCCTGATAGAGATTTGGAGCGATGGAGCAGTCCAAAGAGAGGCAGATGCTCACTACAGTTTTACGTGCAAAAAGGGTTTAAAAGACACAGGGTTACTAATCTTTAAAGCAGAGTTATCCTCTGAGGCATTGAACTAATTGCTCCAAGACACAGTGTGTGTCTTGACTCCTTTCCCTGCTCCACAACACTCACCTGCACAGGTTTTCCAAAAGTATCTATGTACTTAACTTTTTAAGAAGTTATTCAGATGCTATGCTGGGCTATTTTTAAAAATTTCATTTTCTCTGTTCTTCCATCCATGAGAAAAGGAGACCAGAGTGTTGCATTCTAGAAACTTTATTGCACACTTTTAAAATGCCTTAAAATCAGTTGATAAAATACTTGAAGTAAACATAAATTAGTGGTGCTGAGCCCCCATAATTGCACGGACAAGACTAGGGAGAACAAGTTTCACTGGCTGCCCCTATATTCTTGAGAAGAAGCAACACTTCCACTAGATTTCTTTGGAAGGAGCTGAGAAAGGATATTTGGCATAACCCCGCCTTGAGGAATGGTCACACAGGCAAAGAGCTTGTTCAGCTCATCATCACTTCTCACAGCCAGCTGAATGTGCCTGGGCAGGATCTTCACCTTCCTGCTGTCACGCGCAGCGTTCCCCGCTAGCTCCAGCACCTCTGCTGTCACGTACTCCATCACCGCAGCCAGGCAGACGGCAGTGGCAGAGCCAATCCTGTCTGCGTACTTCCCTCTCCTCAGGAGTCCATGGACACGGGCCACAGGGAACTGCAGACCTGCCTTGGACGACTTGCTCTTCTTTGCTCCACTTCCAGGGTTGCCAGCCACTGCTTGTTTCTTTCCACGTCCAGACATTCTGGCAGGCGAGGAGACACAGAGGGCTGGAGGGCTTCAAAACTTGGGCTACAGCTAATGGATAGCAAGAGGAGGCAACAGCAAGGTCAGTGCTGCTCTTCCACATCAAGCAGAAAGCTCATTCTTTTCTTGAGGAAGGAGCTCACTGCACACCACAGTTCATCAACAGCAGAGCTAAAATTTTAACAGTTATTGCCCTTTTACAGCCTGCCTTTTTGGAGAAGGATCTCATTGCAAAACCTGTCAAGGGTTATTGAAGTTAGATATGAAGGGCTCAAAAGAAGACAAGCTTTCCCTGCTACTTGGAATGTATTTAGGGTTGAGGCACAGTGGGTTTTCTTCAGCAAGATTTTTTTTAAACTCCACAGCTGTTACCTCAAAGCTAACTTGAGGCCTGTCTCTTCCTTCAAGAGCAATCTGCATTACAACTTCTACTATCGAGTAACAACTTCCCTCCATTTCAAATCTAAAAATGGAAAAATTCTTGCAGCCTACATCTTGTTATATCCAAAATACTTCAGGACTTTTTCACACATTTCATATGGCTTTAAATTAATTCCCTAAATGGTATTCTCTGGCTTATTTGAGAATACTACTGGAGGTCTTCTGTACCAAGAAAAGGATAAACTTATTTGGACAGCACTATGCAGACGGAAGAACAGAAATTACCACCTCATGACAAAGGAAATTCAGCCCAGCTAGGACATTCTTGCAACTGGAGTAGCAAAACTACTTATTTATAACATTTCTAGTCTATAAGTAAATGGGGCTGGTTAACTTCCAGTACACCTGGCTACAACATACAAAAACACCCATCACTACATTAACATGTAGGGGTTTTACTAAGAGATTTAATTATTTAAGAAAAATCAGAATGAGCTTTGAAAAGAATGTGAAAAAATAGTAAAAGTTAAAAAACCCAGCTCCTAATAAAATCCAAGCAAACAAAGTCCTTCCTTATAACTCCTTATCCCTATTACCAGACAATACTTTTTCTAAATTATTCACAGTACAGTCATACTGTGTAATACAGGCAGCTATCTTACAAAATAACATGAAGTCCACAACCCCAAATCTTCCCCAATGCATCATAAATTAAAAGTACATCACATTACCTTCAAAAATTCTTATTTTGTCCTAGTCTGTACCTTACTACAATCTACACTCAAGCACAAACAAGCCACATAACACCTCTACCCCAGGCTCAGAACCTTTTTATTACTAACTTTTTGTTCTCATCACTGCATCACCTGGATAATTAATGAGTCATTTACACACATGCTTCATCTTCCTTCACCTAATCCCTGATTTGGGGCAAAAAGAAGAAATACATTACAGCTGCTCAGAAGCAAATTGGCTGGGGTGAGGGGGAAGAAGGCAGGCTGTCTGCAAGGGCTGAGCCATAGCTACATTTCAGCCTCACTATGACACTGCCAGTTCTCACTCACTCTGGCTGGAGTATTTCTGTCTGCGTGCTATGTGTAAAAATAGCCTTTCTTTTTTTCTGCTGAAGCTTGAGAAAGTACATAGGGAAAATGGGCTTTGTAAATATATTTTTAGTTGGGTGGGAAGAGAAAACTGTGTTTTGCTTTAGATGTGTCCTGAGTAGAGTCATGCTTGGTTCACATTGTGTCTGAGCCCCACCAAATGATGTGGTGGGGCTGCTCCCTTTTCTGGTAAGTCTGTCCCAGATGAGGCTCGGAGTTTATTGTGGTTCTGGTGCTGAGGGTGCTTGGCTAGTTCCTCTTCTTTCGCCTGAGCAAAAACCTCACCTCAGGTAAAGGAATATTTTTGAGCAGCCTTTAAAGAAATGAGTGCTCACTTCTTGCTCATGCTCTTTTTGTGTTTGTTTTCTGGCATTCAAAGGAGTTTCCAACCAGCAACATACAAGAGCCTTGGGTGTGAATGGTATTTCAGCCACAGAAGATGACTATTTAAACCAGAGGGTACTCCCAGAAGCCAGGCTCTGGCAAAACACTCAGACAACAAAACTGTCATGAACAGTTCAGCCTTTGGTTCTGCCTGTCAGACACCAGATGTGGGTCACAGCTTCACAGCATCTGCATTTGTGGCACCCACCCACTTTTCTTACACGGATGAGCATTTAGTCTAAGCTGAGTGAGGTTGAGTTTCCTGCCACCTCAGGGCATTGAACAGCCAGTATGGGGTACCCTCTGCACGTCCAAATGTTCACCATGAGGACTGATGTCCTCTCAAAGCACAGCTGTCCATTTCTTCTAATTCAGAGACAGAAAAGGTGCCTGTGCCTTCCCTTCAGCAACCCAGACTTAGCTCAGAGAAAGTGGCCAGCCCACTTCAGAATAACTGGCTGTTAATGGGATGCCCACAATCTTATACATGTGGAAGTGGGGCTTCTAAATTTTCATTTCAGGCCCTTGCCAGAGCCGAGACAGTCCTTGCTCCACATGCTTAAACACACTCTTAAGACCTGCTGGCAGGTTCTTTAGGGCTCTTTCATGGGGACTGAGATCTGGGTAAGCATGCTGTCCATTGGGCTAGAGCATAAAAGGAGGGGAAGGGAGGCAGGAGCAGGTCTCTTCCCTCTGCTATGTCTCTTGGAAAAGAAAGCTGAAAAGATCTGCTCAGTTCTTCAAAAGGGCAGGTCTAGGTGCCTGTTTGTATTGTGATAAAGGGATATGATTCATGCTAACTAAATTGTAACTATATCAATAATTGTTATAAAGTAATAGAGGAAAAGCAGATGGGCCCCTTCATGGATGTTAGGTGTGAAAAACAGGATACAGGATGTCGTATTGAGATAAGCAAGATCCCAAAACAGAATTGGCCTTGGGATGAACAAAGTTGGGATGATTCCCAAAGCAGAATCAGCCTTGGGATGAGCAAAGTTGGGATGATCCCAGATATGGAATCTAAGTTGTGGTTTTATCTATGAAATAATACGACTGATTTGGAATATAATGCTTACTTATATAGCACAAAGCTTAGTGCATGCGTGCAACCTGTAAGGTTATTCAGAGGACAGTGAGGAAGACAGCAAGCCTTCCTCTGAAAAGACCACCAAAAAGCCAGGAGACCCCCTAACAACAAGAGGAGCACCATGCAGTGTAGTGACATAGATTTCAAGAATCAAAAATAGGAGGAGATTTACAGAAAAATATTGATGAATATGTATTGGCATACAGTACATAAGTTTAGTTTGGATTCCTTTGTTTCATACGTGAGACAGGGTGAGAAGCCCTCCCTGTACCCCAGTTGGTTTTGCTTATGCTTTATATGAACCTTAATCATACTTAATTAATCACTCCTAATTTTTTTTTGTATATGCTTGATTATATTGAGCATACTTGATTGTATTAATTTCTAAAAAATTTGAGTTCAATTAAAATTGCTGCTAAATTCAATTTTGTTGTTTATTAAATTAGACATATAGAAGTTCATTTATAACAGTATGGAATAGGGTGGGATCCCAAACGGATTTGGGTCACCACATGCAACACTCTTTTCAGTGTTTTCTGAGTGACACTTTAACATAGACTCAGAACTGAAATAAAAGTAACTATCAAGAGACAAATTTCTGGTAATACCAGTTGGCTATGATCCAATCCTAATAATACTACAAGTATTAAAGCTGATTGTGCCTAATAAGAATAGATAATACAGGCTTGATTGCTTATTTTATTTTATTAGCAGATTAGGGAAAGAAAAAACGAAGATTAACAAGTGGGGAAATAAAAGAGGGTATGAAATACAAACAGCTAAAAAAGGGTCAGTGGAAACAAAAGTTACAGGGAATCGCAGAGAGAGACTGGAAGGGACCACAGGGAGTCGCCTGCCCAACGTCCCTGCTCAAGCGTGGTTACTCTGTGTCAGGCTGGACGGGGCTTGCAGCAACCTGGTTTACGGGAAGGCGTGAATCCCCGCGGCAGGGCGATTTACGATCTTCACACGCCGTTCAACCCAAACTGCTCCGTCACCCTTCCCACCGCCGGGCCCATCCTTATTAGGCGGCGCGGGCAGCGGCGGCGCCGGGCCCGCCCCGCCGGCAGCGCCGCCTCCTCCGGCCGCGCCGCGCACGCCGGGACCGGCCCTGCCCGGCCCTGCCCGGCGCCGCTGCCCCGGCCCTGCCCGGCCCGGCCCGGCCCCGCCGGCACCATGCAGGTGAGCAGCCGCCGCGGCCCGCGCCCGGCCGTGTGCGGGCCGAGCCCCGCCGGCGGCCGCGGGCCGAGCCCCGCTCCCGGCCGTGTGAGAGCCGAGCCCCGCCGGCGGCCCAGAGCCGAGCCCCGCCGGCGGCCCAGAGCCGAGCCCCGCTCCCGGCCGTGTGGGAGCCGAGCCCCGCTCCCGGCCGTGTGAGAGCCGAGCCCCGCCGGCGGCCCAGAGCCGAGCCCCGCCGGCGGCCGAGAGCCGAGCCCCGCCGGCGGCCCAGAGCTGAGCCCCGCCGGCGGCCCAGAGCCGAGCCCCGCTCCCGGCCGTGTGAGAGCCGAGCCCCGCTCCCGGCCGTGTGAGAGCCGAGCCCCGCCGGCGGCCGAGGGCCGAGCCCCGCCGGCGGCCGAGGGCCGAGCCCCGCCGGCGGCCGAGAGCCGAGCCCCGCCGGCGGCCCAGAGCCGAGCCCCGCCGGCGGCCGAGAGCCGAGCCCCGCCGGCGGCCGCGGGCCGAGCCCCGCGCCCGGCCGTGTGAGAGCCGAGCCCCCCGGCGGCCCAGAGCCGAGCCCCCCGGCGGCCCAGGGCCGAGCCGCCCTCGGGGCAGAGCTGGGTGTTGTTCGGGGCTGTTCCCGGCGGTGTTGTTCGGGAGCTCCGTGGCTGGGTTTGTGGCAGTTTGTTGCTTTTTTTGCAGCTACGGTATCATTGCACTACTGTAGTGAGCGGTCGGCGTTTCAGGCACTGCATCAGTGTGATGATAAATGATAGTAAATGCGGGGTCGAGGGAAAGGTGACCGCCGTCAGAGAAGGGGGTGAAGATATCTAGTGTTGTGTTTGCTTAGCTACGTTGTTCTTTTTCTTTATTTTCTTATGTTTCTTCTC